GACGCTCTTCCGGGGTTTATCAACGTTCAGCTATTAATCACCTTCATTTTCGAATTACGTTTTACGTACGAACTTCGATCTTTCAGATATTCCGTTACTCTAACGAAGGCCTCTATGAGATTTTTCGGATAGAAAACGGTACAAGAATAGGGTAAGTTTTGTTACTCCAGCGAACTTCTAACCATAAGTAGTTCACTGCCCGAATCATTTCTAATCTTATCTTTTTGTTATTGTAGGTTTGTTTTCAGACAATTTTTTATTTATGAATTCTCTATTGAGGTGTTTCACTTTTTTATTCTTTTTTTTGCACTTTACGACACAAACCTTTACAACATGTAGTTTTCTTGATTTTTTTTTCCATTTTACAACATTCAGTTTTTTCAACTCTACACCCACTGTTGATTTTTTTGAACATGTTTTCGTAATGAAAAAAATGACTGCCACGTGGAAATAGAGTGGGAACTCCTCACTAACATTCTATTTATAGAAAGTCGTTTCCCGTTGGTCCAACCGGAAGTGGTACTGAGACGGTCCTCATTTTCAAGTGGAATCCAAATCGAAATATGAGCGACTTTGTTAGTAACAATAAAAATCGTAAATTTTTCTCATAGAGTCAGAGTCTACATTGATAACTGGACTTCTTCAAGGTATTTGTTCACGATTACAACCTCTACTACCAAGCCGATCCAGAGAAACCGGGAAGCGCTCGACAACTAACGAAAGATGGCCATTATCTATTGCGTTACGGTGTAGCGGATTGGCTATATGAAGGTGAGGGGGAAAGTAAGCTAAGTCTAGCAGGAAGGAAAAGCCTCCCTTTCTCCCTGCTTGGGAACCTGGCATGTTCCTAAGTTCAACCCTGTAGAAATGAGAAGGGCCAAATAGGTACAGTTGATGTCGTCGCAATCAGTCGGGGTGGTTTTGAGAGGGATGGAATGAGCCTGCTCGTGGCGTTTCCACCACTGGTTGTTTTCTAACTGAATTGATCACTAACCAATCGTTATTGGTAAAGCAAGGCAGCCGGAGACGGGCTCACCCCGCCCCTCCTGACGCCGCCCCGATTGGTGGCATTGTTACCAACTATATGTAGGGAGTATTTAGAAATAGGTAACAGAGCACACTAAGTTTCGGGCTATCTAGGAAGCACATTTGCGACATCCTATAGAAAGAAACAAAAAATATTTTCGCCTCCCAACTTTTGTGCTTCTCGCTAGTCAACTTGTAGTCCTTGGTCCTTGGGGGTGGATACTCCATTGAAGGCCTTCTGTGTCTCCTCCTATACGACCAGCGCGGAATGATGTGCTACGGAGCCGTGGCTTGCGAATCACCGAACTCCACTAAGATAGGATACTCTGAGTGTTCTTACCAATGTCAGTGGAAGAACGCACCGCCAATGAAACATCCGACATTCCGGTGGGGCTTACATCTGTCCAAAGCTCTTCTGAGTTGCCGAAGTATTCCCGATAAACTAAGACATTCAAGGTTTTCCAAAAAAATCGTTTAAGCGTAATAATTTCTCATTTAAGAGGAAATTCTATCGTCAGCAGATGCAATCTGGTGGTCTGATTCGGGAAACTACATTTCTTACCTGAGGTACAAAGTTAAATTTCGGATTTTCACCATTCCATTCTGTTTTTTCAACTTTCATTCATTTTAGTTTTGTTACCTTTGTCGTGTTATTCCTATTATTTTTACATTCACCTATCCGGGCTAGAACCGATCGAAATCGAGGGGGTTTATACGTTCTCCTCTCAGTTTGGAAATTTTCTTTTCAGGTTTGACGATCGTTCTGTGAATCGGATTTATATACCAAAATACTTCAGGAATTCACAATATCCACAGTAAGTATGCCATCTCCTTTGGACTCAACTCACTTCAATGTATTTTTTAAGGTATATGGAAATACCGTATCCGAAGGCAGGTGTTGAAGAAAATCCGCAGGTCACTTTGTATATATGGCCGATGAAGAGGGGTAAAGCTGTGGTTGCTGAACCGCCGGCTCAGCTAGTTGGAATGAACCAGTAAGTTACTTTTGGTGTCCTTACTGGTTTTCAGAAGACGATGATTCTGCCGTCAGAGCTGCAAGTGCCAGGGAGCGCATTAGCTGGGTAGCTATGCATTTAAGCGTTGGGAATCCCAAGCGACGTGGGAGCTATTTGGTCACTGGAGGGGAGATGAGTTGTATTTCCCTTCGAGAAAATGTTTTTTTGAAGGCTTGGGTCATCTTGATGTCTCCATTAACTCTGCCAATCATCTTCCCCCCCCCCCACTTCAACACCCGCACGAGTTCCGCAAGTAAAAGTCCCCAGTAAAAAGATAGGAAACTTGGGAAATTTTGTCTATATGATGGTAGGATGGGGATCGGGTAGAGGGCCGTGTCATAGAAGGAAACTCCGAGGTAAAGGGAAGTCGTTTTTTGCAAAATTTTCAACAGCGACAAGACGTCCCTGGTACTGAGAAACGGCGTAGGCTGCGAAGGTGTCCAGGCTGCGGCAGATGTTAGTATCCCATCTTGCTCACCTAGCACAAATTTCTCTTTAATATCCACTTTTCAGGTCATACTATGTTTTTTCCAATCAGTGGATCAGAATGCCGAAGTACTTGTATAGCGAACTCGGTGAGGAACGGCTGGTGACAGTATGGGCTAACCGTGAACAGAATCTCGTCTATATTACATTATGCAATGAAATGGACTGCGCTCTGGTGAGCTAGGCTGGAATTTGCTCAGGCAGAATCTCAGAATGATTGTTTTCAGACTTACACACAATCATTCACTATCAGTGGTCGAAGTTTATCAGCTGAACCGACGGATTTCAAGACGATATTGGCGTCAGAGCTCGGATTCTTCGTCATTCTTCCTCATGCTTACCATGATGGAAACATTTACAATCATATAGCCCACATCAGGATATTGGTTAGTTCCAGGTTTCTATTGTAGAGGGGGCCAAGTGGCAACAGGCGCCGCTTACCACAGTAAATGAAACTCGGAATCCAGTTCCGCTCGGTAGGGGCGCCGAACGGCGCTCAGTTAAGCTTGTACATGCCTTTTAGTGGGGGAACTGTAGATTTCTGTGACCGGAGAGGGCTCACACGAAGTTTCCCAGCTTCATAGGAGCCTACAGGCCTGAACAAAGTGAGACCTGTTAATCATCAATAACCTGAACCTACAAAAGGAACTGACGAGAGTACAGACAACCCCCTTCAATGCGAATAGCACCCTGTGTCAACCAAGCCTCGCCTCCTTTCGAGGTACGTTAATCTGTACCAATTTTTCTCTGGGAGGATAAAGCACCGGGTTGTACATTGGCTTGTCCCTCCACTGTATAGGGTAGATCGCGTACAAAGTGCTACAGCGTTTTTAAGTGGAAGTAAGAAGTGTGGCGCACTCCAAAAAGGGGATCGTTAGCACTGAAGTTACCAATTCAATAACGTCTCCATACTGAATAGCCATTTGTCAACTCTTCACAAACTTTTCAGAGAAACGGTAGTGGACGAATTACGACGTGGCATGGTGGCGCTTACGATATAAAGGAGATGAAGGGCTACGATATAAAGACTGATACCCTCACCTTCACCTCATCTGGTCAAGGTGTTGGTACAATGCGGCTGTATAGATTAGCACGAGCTACCTCAACAAACCAGGTGAGAGGGCAAAAATAATGTCTTCGTTACCTTGAGGTTATTTACTGCTTAATAAGAAAAAAAGGATATAAACATCGGTGAAAAAACTACTGCAGAACAAAGATGGCTCGTTGCGTCCCTAGTCTTTTTATTCATGGGTTCACTACTAGCGGAAAATGGCTTTTTCTTCCTCTTCGAGTTTCGAGCTTTCCCTGAAATTCTTTTCACTTCCTTCTGGATTCCCCTTTATTCTGACCTGTTTGGAACCAACTAAATTCAAGACATACAGCCGGACTTGCAGGGACTCACAACCGTTGTGTTCTCCTTGTTGGCGCGCCTCGCTTCTGACATGATGAGGAGAAGGGGCGAACCAACCAGGAAGGCGCATTATTTCTGAGTCCCCGCCCATTTCTCCGCCAACCGAATTGTCGTGGGAAGTGTTTTCAAACCTGGCAGTGAAGGAACTATACAAAAATGGAGGTTCATCCGGAGATATTGCAGTCACTTTTGCAGTCATCGACAATCGTGCTCTCTTCGATCGTCTCCAATTGCGACTATGGCACATACGATGTGTCACCAGATGGCAAGCGAGCTGTTCTCGGTTGCTTACAACCATTTAAAAATACTAAATTGTACCTCATGAATGTAGATATGCCTAGTAATAGTAAGTCTTTTATCTCTTTTGGTTAAGCGCTACAATATATGGGAGCAGTTTTGTTCAGATAGACTACTAGATGGCGCTGAAGAAGCTCATATCCCATTCGACCTTCCTGAGCTCTCCTATGAGACTGTTAGGCTACCCTCAGGTTATGGTAAGTATTGTTGCTGCCTGAATAGTCTTTGATATACAAACAACTTTCTCTCAACAGTAATGCGTCTCTTTTCAACTGCTTATTGACGTCATACTACAAGAAATAAATAATAATATAATAATATAATATAATATAATATAATATAATAATATAATATAATATAAATAATATAATATAATATAAATAATATAATATAATATAATTATAATTGTTGTGTGGGTACGATTGACTGGATCGCTTCTTCTGCGTTGAACACAAGAATGAATTAAATTAGCATTTTTCAGAAGTCCACATTGGCCTAATGAAACCACCTAAATTCGACCCATCACTGAGATATCCCATGCTCGTCGATGTGTTAGTTTTATTTTTCCCAAAACTTTTTTCACTTAAGGCTGATTTCCAATACTTACACAGCTGTCCAAACCGAATTTATGTTCGCAACTTTCAGTTATGGTGGTCCAAACAGTTGTCGGATCCGTCGATCTACACCGAACCCCAATATGATTCATTTTTGCTCGAGCCTCGGCGTGATCGTGGCATGGATTGACGGCCGAGGGTCTTCAAATCGAGGTAGTTTATCCTGTACAAACTGACATAGTACTGTCGGCTTACAATATGCAGTCTTGTTCGAATATGTAGTCGGATATGGGCGGAGGGTGTCAAGGGGCTGGGTATGGCGCGTCGCCATCCCGTTCTCCACCAGTTGTTGAAGCGAGCCAGCGACAATAATTGGTTGGAAATAGGTACCCGCGCCGAACCCAGCCCCCTGACATCCCTCAGCTTTCGCAGAACAAGACTATATTTCCTTACTGCCGCTATACAACTCTTTTGTTATCTACCATAACAGCCTCTCCAGCTTGAAGACACATTCGCGATGAGCTATTGCGCGAAGAATTGGGCGGGCTCTCACAGCCGTTGTGCCTTCCTCATTGGTGCGCTTCTACCTCTCATACACTGAAGAGGAACGGACGCACCAGTGGAAAGGCTGTCAGTCTCCGCCCATCCACCTATCGCGGGATATGTCTCTAACAATTGATCTTCAAGCGAGAACAGATACAACGTTCCCGAATAGCGATTTTACCAGCATCTGAGCCTCAAAAGGCTGTTGTGAGGAAAAGTGAGTCTTCCTGCCTGAATCTCCTCAACAGAAGCTCAAAGAATTTCAATTCTGGTATAGAATTGAAATGGGCATTTTCTTTCTGCAGTGGAAGTGACTGCTTGACGTTGATCAGTCGAGATGCGCCACGTATCCGACTTGAAGGTTGTGGGCACGATGGCTGGGGGCGGGCGTTAATGCCAATGTGGTCCTTATTCTGCATGAAGCTAACATGAATGCGTCTTTTAACTATAGTATCAAGATTATCTAGGAGTTCTGACATGGACCAAATTTTGTTCGAGTCATACTCCTAGATAATCTTGATACTATAGTTAAAAGA